GGGGGGAGTGTAACTGTTGAAATGTGTGACCATCTCATCTAAAAGCTTAAGTTGTTAGAGAGAGCACACTTTTATTTATTTAATTATGTGTTCAACACGCCCCCTCATGTGCGGGCTTGATTCTTTTTTATGAGCCAAGCACGTGGAGATTCTTTTTTATATTGGGTGAGGGTGAGACTCGAACCCAGGACCTCTATCTGCTCTGATACCATGAAGATTTCAAGAAGAAGAATGAAACTTCTTGTATTTCAGTATGTTTTTACATCAAATGAGCAGTAGTATTTATACAGAGGTTCCTATGGCTAATTTAGGAAAGGAAATCAATTACAGCTATTACACAAATCAATTACAATAAAATCTCCTAGAATAGAATCAAATCTCCTAAAATTAAGTTTCCTACAATCAAGCTAGTCAACAGTAACCGTTCACGAACTGCTAGCGATTATCTCGAAAGGGGGTTCATAGTGAAGCTTGTCTCAGGAAAATCTCACATCGGAATGGGTGGGGAAATTTATGGGCTATAAAAGGGCGAGTTCAAGATTCATCTATAGAGACACTTTTTGGTTTTAAACCCAAAGAACCATGATGCCCTTAAAGGCTGGGTCAAAGTAGACAATACTCTGAAAGTTGGGCTTGAGCCATGGCAAGGTGGTATCTGAGCCGATACCTCCCTAGTACGGTAGTAGGCAACAAGGAATGCTAAGTCGCAAATGGGGGGTTGAGTGTAGCAACCCATTGACTACCAACAGTTGAATTCAAAAAAAACTTTGTTGAGAAGCTTGTCTTAGGCAAATCTCACATCGAAATGGGAGGGAAAACAATGGGCCATTAAAGAGCAAATTTAAAATTCAACTACTGAGGCGTCAATTGGGTTAAAGTCCAAGGGGACAAAACAGTGAGGCCCCAAAGGTTGGGCTAATGGACAATACTTTGACAGTTAGAACTGGGATAGTTGTGGAAATTTTCTCGAAGAAAAGCAATGGTTGTTTATCTATTTGGCTATTCCTTGAAAGAATCGAGTTGACGGTTTCGGATGGCAAAAGCAAAAGATTTTCTACATAGTTTCAAACTTCTACCATAAATCAGTTCCAATGCAATCAAGTCCATGTCTGAGAGACCAACAACGTGGAACTAATGTGACACTGATAACAATACTAACCAATTCACAGACATAGGCTAGATCGACTGAAATGTGAAAATCAGCCTGCAAAAAGACAGCCAGAGTATGTAGATAAGGATGATTGTAAATTAGAGAAACTACTGTGAGACATGTAATCATGGTGACGTTTAAACATTAATTCGATACCCTCTCAATAATATCCAAGTCCAAATACTTCAATTCCTCATACAGAGATCCAGAAATGCCTACTTCGAATATTTTGCTGATATGCAGGAGAGCACAAACACTCTGCATGAAATTGAATACTCAAATTTGGATAAAGTACAAATGGGACTAATAAAGCACGCAATAATCTAGATTTAGCAGCAAAAACTTTGCAAAAGAAATTTCGGCTAAAGGGTAAAATGAAAACCCAATGGCACTCCTTTAACATTTCTTGTGCTAGTTTGAGGCCAAAGACTAATTGAAATTGTATAAAGTAGAAAATGTAAAATAGCTGGTGACAAAATGCTTATATAGAATGTAATTCTCAAATTCTGGTAAAGCATATTAATGAAGAGTAACAAACATGCAATACTTTATCTTGTCTAATCAAAAAAAGAAAAATGGAAAGTCTTTTTAGGTTAACATCCAAAAAGGGCTACACAATGTACTGACATGACCCAGCATACATCGAAGTTTGTTCCTGAACAGCTCAAATGGCACGAAAATATAAACTTCAAATATTAAAAATAGTAATCTTGATAATATATAAGCTAGAGCAAAATGCCTCAGGTACAGATATCTGAGGATTGAATGGGCCAGTAAAGTGACAGATACAGTGCACATATCTACCTTCAGAAAAGCAGCCCAGTCTGCACTTGTAGATATAGAACTTGGAGAGTTAAATTTCTGTGGAAGCAAGGAAAGGACAAAAAGATAACAAACAAGAAGATTAGAGAACCAAAACTGATGAAGAGAGAGTAGAAGTGTAGAACTTGTATCAAACAGACATTCAGCTTCATATTCAGCATGACCCACGTACAAAAATGCATCTTAAAGGAATTTTATGCACCCAAAAGTTTAAGTACTCCCTCAGTCACATTTTATGTGGCAAACTTTCTTTTTTAGTCAGTCCCAAAAAGAATGGTACATTTCTGTATTCAAAAATAATTTGCTTTAAAATTCTCATTTTATCCTAAATGAGATGATTTATAGTCACAGCGTCACACAAATGTCTATGACTTTTTTTCGAGCACAAGTTTCAAAAGTCCTTTCATTCTTTAACTTCGTGCCCAGTCAAATACCACCACATAAAATGGGACAGAGGGAGTAATAGATTTTGGCATAGTTTGATCTTTTTTGTACATTTGGACCAAGAAAATAATTTTAAACTTTATGGTTTCATCCAGGTTATGAATTCCATCACTTAAAGCTATTTTAAGTGACTGTTTCTCGGGTGACACTGAAAGAGAAAACAAAATGACCAAAACTGAAGAATAACCGAATAAGTATATGGAAGAGAACATAACACAGGAAATATGAACCTTGAGTATGCGGGAAATATCTTTTACGGACTTCAGTGTTTCGCGTAAAGAGACCGAAATTTCTTCAGCAGACAGGAAGAATGATATCTTCAAAAGTCACAGGAAAAATTCCTGTTCATGTGTGTTATGAATATAAAATCAGTTGCATAAGAAGTCATAATGTTTCATGGTTATGGTGTTTCAAATTTTGAGAGCACTCCCACAAAGAAGGATAACCGTCATTCATTCAGTGCCCCACATGCTGCAAAAAACCTTTTCAGTTGCAGAAACTATAATGGTCAAGTCTAACTGTCACAAAGTTTACGGAAGGATACAGTGTCAAGACGCCGATTCAGGTTATCAAGATCCAATATAGGCCTCAGAAACCAGCTCCTGATGAAAGGTGAACTATTAGACCAGAAGGCATGAAGTACATTTTATCTTTACAAAAACCACATTCAAACAAAACTAACCTCAAGAGACGTCTACCCATTGGAGTTACACACTGAAAAAAGTAAACAAATATTAGTCCAATATTTCGTAGCTGCTTAAAAACCACCAATAGCAAATGGCCACAGCTTTTAAAACCAGCCACCCTCAAACCTTATTCATCATCCCAAATACAGAAAACCTACATAAAAAAAATTGATGAGTCAAAACTTCCATGGTTGACTAAACATAAAGAGTAATTTGTCACTGACCCTTCTTTTGATCTGCCTATCCCCATATGGCTAGGATGCTTGTCTATTTGGAATATTTGTAATGCTTCATGAGCAGCAGAATCAACTTTGAGAAATTTGTCACTTGATGTGATAGTCAAGGCACACATCATTGCACAAATTTCATCCCCAATGCAAAACATAGAAATATGAATGAGAGAAATGAATTAAAGAAGGTTAAGCCATTCCAGGAAAATCAAGCTTAGAGGATACAGGGAAATTTCGCAGATGCAATCAATTGCAATTGATGCACTCCCACTTTCATTTAGTTCAAGGGTGTCTATGATCCGCTCATTCTCCAGCACAGCTAAAAGGCCCCCACTGGCACGAACTTGAACATCATTGCTGACATCCATCATAGAACTTAGCTGCAATTTCAGAAAGAGCAGAATTTTAAACTAATTTACAGAAATGCGACCTTCTAAGAAACCAAACAACAGGAATAAAGTAAGCAGTGAACCATTATCCATTTTTTGCTAGCATTTTTATGCCTAGCTAAAGTTTTTTTATAAAGGTCTATGCCTAGCTAAAGTAGAAAATATTTCACCAGAAAAACCATGTCCTAAACTTGCAAATGTGACTATCCCTAGATCTAAAACTTGAGTTTCAAACTTAAAAGAAAGCTGTAATATGTAAATGATGGCATGGCTCAGGAAAGCCCATATGACCATCCTGCTTTATATTCAAGCAAGTCCTGTTTCCTTCAGGAGCTGCCTCCTCTTTTTCTTCTCTTTTCAGGGCATGTATACTTCCGCGGGGGAGATTTTGGGCGATAACTACCGAGAAAGTATCTCCAAATATCGGACACCAGTCAATAAAAATAAAATAAGCTAGAAATTACTGTGTTTTCTCATTCTTTCTTGCTCTTAATCATTAAGTTAATATCATACTTCCACCGATACTCTTGTCAAACATGGATCTGAAATAGCATTGTGAATGTGTTACAATGCACCTCTTTTCAAAAGTATAATGAGTTACTATGAGCTTCAGCACTCCCCTTCCAAGAAAGTCTCAATCAAATCTTGTCCCCACTTAGCTAAAAGATAGACTGGAGAAGTCACATCCCACGACCAATACTATTCTTAGTTGTAATTGCTATGATCGTAGAGGAGATTTTTTAATCTCAGGAAGCTCTCAAACCAAGCTGACAACTAAAAAGCACCATATTTGGTATAAAGCAACAAAATAGCACCTACTGTAACAAACAATCCTTTGTGTCAACAAGAGTATTCAGATTTCAAGAATATAAAGATGCATACTGAATCGACGCAGTAAAAGTTTGACTCACAAAAGCAGTTCTCTCTTTTATGTTCAAACCATCATCCATCCCAGTGACTTGAAGGTACATCAATCTGTGACCCAAAAACAGCTCTATAGTAAAACTATTCAGAAAGAACACTGAGAAACAGATCAATCCATTAATTACAACTGCAAGGAGCATTTAAATACGTGTCATCTGGTGGCTATGGTAACTAGGGATATACATTTATAATGACATCCTAATCCCATATCATTAACCAGAGAACTGCTGGTTTTGATGCACCTAGGACTTCCCTTGACAGAACTATATTCATCTTGGACAAATAAACCAACAGAATATGAAATAAAGAAAATATAAATAATTGCAGTACTCCTCGTCAAACCTGTGCCATGCTTGCTCATGGCTGAATAGCGAACTTTTCACAAGCTTTACAGAAGGAGCGTCACTTGTACCATCTGTGTCACATCACAGAGTAGATAATGCTTCCACAAGCAGAAAGATCAACATGCCAATAATAAACTGAGACATACCACTTCTCTGTAAGGCAGCCAAGAAAGATTCCTCACTTTTAGTACTTGTATAGATTGTTCCAGGTTTAGCCTGATATTTAACTGAACAGGACTCCCACTTTCAGCGAACATCATACAGAAGGCATAAAGGAAGAAGCTAAGCTTGCTTAAGAGCAGTTTATGGATGCTTTAAACTACTTCTTACTCAAGGATGTAAAACTAATGAAATTTGTCAAAGCAGTTTAGAAAGCAATTTATCAATGCAACAAGTTCAGTACATCATGTTAACTTAACTTTCATAAAAAGAGAGACAGAAATGCAACGAGCACATAAACTAGCTGTTTACAAATCTACCAAGAGAAAGCGAAGAGTTCGTACCCATATCGACCAAGGAAAAATCATGACTCCCATCCTCCCAGATTTCCAGTACATGGAGTTGGCGTGTACTGGCATCATAATAGGAAACTCCAATCCTTAAAGAACAAAATTGTTGGTCACTAATTAATTCAGCATTTTTTTTACTAATTAATTCAGCATCCACTCTTGCTAGCATTTCTTTTTTATTTCTCCATCCTTCAGGTAGTTTGCTTTTTAATTGTTTTTCTACAATCAAGTTCAAGATCGAAGATATTCTTCCTTTTATTACTGTTTTACCCTCTTTTTTGTAATCAAATATTAGGGGTTGCAAATGGGCAGGTTGGGTTGAATTTGGACGTAAAATGGGTTGAGTCAATATATGGACTATTGCCCAACCTTGCCCAAAGTTTATTTGGGATAGGATGGATTGGGCCAAGATGGGCTAAATAGTGGGTCAATGCCCAGCCCGCCCAACTTCATCCACCTAATCCATTTTTTATGTGTGGTTTAGTCCGAGCTTTACCATTCTGATACACATTTGTATTAGATGAAATGTGGTTAGAAATCATGAGGTACATAACTATACTTCTTCTACAATTCTTTTAGAATAATAAAAAAAAGTACTTCATTTATCTCATTTTTTGAGACAAATATTTAGAAAGAGATTATAATATATTTTATGTAAAATATAAATTTGTAAAGTGTGTGTGTGTGTGTGTGTGTATATATATATATATATATATATATATATATATATAAAAGAACATGAAGCGCTCGGAACACAGGGCCGGGTTCTTTTAGGTATTGATACACTTGTAAATTGATTCATCGACTTATAACCTACTTAGATGCATGTATATATATTAAAAACAAAACGTCTCGACTTATATCAATTAATATGTTATAATTGATTCATCGACTTATAACCTAGTGATGAATGAATGTAATTCATTAACTCTGTAAAAACAATAAGTCGATGAATCAATTATAACATATTAATTGATACAAGTCGAGACGTTTTGTTTATAGTATAGTGTATTATATAATATACTATACTATACACTTAGTATATATAATACACTATACTATCTCTCTCTCTCTCTCTATATATATATATACTATATTATAATATATATATATCGAATATACCTTGTATACTATGCACTTAGTATATATAATACACTATACTATACACTTAGTATATACAATACACTTAGTATATATAATACACTTAGTGAATATAATACACTATACTATCTCTCTCTCTCTCTCTCTCTCTCTCTCTCTCTCTCTCTCTCTCTATATATATATATATATATATATATATATATATATATATATATATACTATACTATACTATACTACATATGTACATAATTTTAAATTGAATTAAAAGTAATTTAATTATTTTTTAGAAATAGCGACCAACTTTGGTCGCTATTTTGGTCAAACGGTCAAAAAATAGCGACCAACTTTGGTCGCTATTTTGGTAGCAAAATAATCGGGTTTTACCTCCCATTCTCTTATTTTCTTCAAAACGTTTCCCCAAACTCTCTCTTTTCTCTCTCACACTCAAACCCCCCCCCCCCCCCCCCCCCCCNAATAGTCAAAATGAATCTTGCTTTTCAAGACATATATAACATGCGACGATTGTACATATCGTTAATATCAATTTTTTTGACTCCTTAAACCATTCATTCAAGAAAGGCCTAAAGTAATGTAACCACCCGATAGGTCAGTTTTGAGTACTAGCCCTTATTTCGCGTTCCGAGGCCTCTCATAGCTTCATTTGATGTTATATGACTTGCTTGCGTGGTCCGTGTTGTTTTACGGAAAGTTTTACAGTTTAAAAACAAATGATTTTGGCTTTAAAAACCACTAGAGTTGACCGCGGTCAACGTTCTTGGTAAACGACCTCGGATCGGTGTTTTGACGATTCCGGTAGGTTCGTATGATGTTTTTGGACTTGTAAGCACATTCGGTTGGGGTCCGGGGTGACCCGAGCGCGTTCCGGCGCATTTTGTGAAGGATTGTGAAAAATGAGTTTTCAAGTTGAAATCCTTGAGTTTTAACATTTGATTCTTGTTATTTGATGTTATTTTGATGATTTGAGGTAGTGAACAAGTTTGTATGATGTTATTATATTTATGTGAATGTTCGGATTGGAGCCCGAGGGCTCGGGTGAGTTTCGAATTGGTTTCGGACCATTTCTGGACTTGTTGAACTGCTGGTTTTTCTTCTTGTGTTCTCCATCGCGAAGCCTCTAGGGGAAAAATTTGGGCTGGGGCTGGTACTCTACGCGAACCCGAGAAGTGGATCGCGAACGTGAGGGCTTGAGGGGACTGCCCTTTGCGAACGCGAAAGGCCTCACGCGAACGCGTAGGCTTGGGGAATACTGGGAGGAGAGACGGTCCTTCATCGCGAACACGACACATGGACATGAACGCGTAGGCTTGGCTGGGAAGTGCCTTCGCGAATGCAAAGGCCAGCAGGCCTGTGCACTTCGCGAACGCGAAGAGCACCTGACACCTAGTTAAATAAAAACTCTAAGTCGGGATTTGCCATTCTACACCAGTTTTGAAACCTAGAACTCGGACTAGAGAAACTATTAAAGAGATTTTCACCCCAACTTTATTGGTAAATGCTTTTTAACTAGTTTTGATGTATTTACATGAACACCCATTGATTTTTAACCTTAAATCTATGAGTTTCATGGTAGAAATTAGGGGTTTTGGGTAGAATTTAGGGATTTTGAAAAATTGAGATTTAGACCTCAAACTGAGGTCGGATATCAAAACAAATCACATAACCGGGCTTGGGGGTGAATGGGTAATCGGGTTTTGGACTGAATCTCGAATTTTGACCGAGCAGGCCCGAGGTTGAGTTTTGTTGACTTTTTCCAATTTTATTAAAGATTGAATCTTTTACACTCGTTGGTAGTTTCTAAAGCTTATTTTAAAGTGTTTGAACTATATTTGGCTAGATTTGCTTGGTTTGGAGGCTTATTCTAAAGGAAAAGTCGTGATTGATAACTTGAGGGAATTCGGACTTCATTGGTTTATTTGCTACTTGATTTATGTGTGGGAACGGCGTATATGCAAGGTGACGAGTGTATATACGTAGTCATGGGTTAAGCATGCGGGTTGGGATATTTATTTGTTGCCTTCAACTATTTAATGCCTTTATTTAATCCATGTTAGTACTTGTTAAATGCTTTAATTATTACTTGCCCTTACTTGCTAAATTCATGGGTTTATTTCGTTACATGCCTTAATTTGCTATTTGTCTCCATGTATCTGTGTCTTTATTTATTGACTGCTTTTACTTGCTTTATGACCTTGTGTGCTGTTAGATAGCTACTTTTATCCGTTTTATGTCTTTAATTATGTAATTCCCTTATTGCGTTTTTATTGTGAGGTATGTCGTAGTTGGCTGTAGTTTGTGCATTTATTTTATATTGTGAGGAATCGGGTTGCACGCCGCAATGGATATTGGTATTATTGTATGGAATCGGGTTGCACGCAACGATATTTATATTTATATTTGTGGATCGGGTTGCGCGTCGCAACGGAGAAGACATACTGCATGTTTTTAACTGTTGGTTCCATATCTGTGTTGTATTGAGAAGTTGAGCATATATGTTATTCTGGGGCCCTCTATTGTGTATCTATTGTTCCGATTTTATGTCAATTGTAGTTTCCTCTATTTTTGTTACTGTTTTTACTTATACTCGTATAGATTTATAGTGAGTGCCTTGTTATAGCCTCGTCACTACTTCGTCGAGGTTAGAATCGGCACTTACGGAGTGCATGGGTCGGTTGTACTCATACTACACTTTTGCACTTCTTGTGCAGATTCTTGTGTTGGTCCTAGCAGTCTTTTGTTCTGTTTAATTTAATTCAAACAGTTGTATTTTCATTCAGACATTGGTTGTAGCACTTTTAGTAGCTCATGTAACTGTGACACCAGATTTCGGTAGTTGACTAGACGGCGTATTGGGATTTATTATATCTATTTTGAAGTTCTACAGTTTTTATTTCTTATTTATCTGCTTTTAAAATTGTTAAAATGAATAGTGTGTAGCTAATGTTGGCTTGCCTCGCAAGTGAACATTAGGGGCCATCACGGCCCCGCGGTTGGGATTTCGGATCGTGACAAGTTACTACGAACATTCTAATAATGTCTGTCAATGTCACCAATCAAGAGCAAGAGAATCAAGGAGCTCACCTGTGTCCATGCATAACACATGCCATATAAACCTGCATTATAAGCCGCAACCAGCAAAAGTTATATACGTCTAGAGGAGTTTCTATAGTAAAACTTCAAAAAGTGAGGTAAAACACATTTTGCCTATGAGAATTGAAACACCAACACTTTTGCTCCAAAAAATAAAAGGCATGATTCTTTTGAACATCAAAAAGAATCATTAACACACATTCAAAGTCTTGAAATTGAATGGATATAGAACACAATGAGTTTCAACTCTCCACGTGATTGGTAGTAAAAAAATCAATTCATATCGTTTAAGAAAATCATTTGAAATCAATAAATAACAAAGTTCTCACTAAAATATACTACTCCCTCTACTTCATTTTATATGAACCTGTATGACCGAACAAGAAGTTTAAAAAAGAAAGAAGAACCTTCGAAACTTGTGGTCTTAAATCAACCATGATATTTTTGTGGCTATAAAACCAATGACATTAAGGATAAAATGAAAAGTTTAAAGTTAAGTTGTTTCTAAATATAGATATGTGTCATTTTTCCTCGAACCGACAAAAGAAAAGAGTGTTATATAAATTGGAACTGAGGGAGTGCCTTTTTTTTTATAATCGAGAAATCTTGTCGGCTAGTTCTAGCCCGCACATGATTTGAAACTCGGTGGAAATATGGGTCGACTTCCACTTAATTATCAGGCTTTTATCTGAGGCAGGTTTTAAATTCTTGACATGCGCCTAATCCACATAACACGAGCTAGATTCTTACCACTTTCATACTGTATTTATGTTCATTGTAATGTACTATGCAAGTGAAAGTTATCATTTTTGTGCTATGTTCCAATCAGCATTTAAATGCTTTGTTTTATTTATCAACATAACATTGGAGCATCCAAAGGGCTGAAATTGCTCGGAAATTAAATTAGCATATATCATACAAGTTTTACATATTAAAACATATCAAAAGTCTGCTTCGTCAACTGGATTTTTATATCTACGAATCAGCTGGTTGACAAGTAATTTAATTGGCTTCTCCTAGTACCTTATCCACAACAACAACATGAACAACAACAACACACACACATACACGCACAAAAAAAATATATAAATTCATAACTCGGATCACATATTTGTCTTTAAAATGTATCAAACTACGTCTCAACTGATAACTAAGAGCACAAATGCGTTTCAATTCTGCTTTATGCTAAACAATTTTCAAAATGAAATAGGTTATAGACTCCAAAACACACACACATACACGCATACAAAACTCTGATCATAAATTTGTCTGTGAAATGTAATAAATTACTTCTCAATTGATAACTAAGAACAGAAACGCCTTAAATTCTACTTTCAGCTAAACAATTTTCACTAAAAATAAATAAAATTAAAAAAAGGTTATTGAATTCCGAGCAAGCTTGGTACTTACATTACACTCTTCCTCTTCTGATAATTCAGGCATTGATGATCTTATCTGCGACTGATCGTTATGATCTTCTCACATCAAAGTAAAGTTCAAATATGTCATCCGATTTTCCAAAAAAAAAAAGTAAGCTTGTATATAAGAAAATTAATTTTGCTGTAGAATAATAATACATTGGAAATGTAAATAGAGAATAGATAAACGTAATAGTAAGTGCACACCTCGATCGCGTGGAAACAACGCCTCCATTTGCAGCGAATACAGTGCGTAGGTTAAGTAGCAAAGAGTTAAAATGCAGGAGCAAAATTTTCACTGGGAAGGGTGAAGCGGAGAGAAAATTCTCGAGAGGGAGAGAGGGGACAATTTGGCGGCAATTCATCAATTGAGGTGCTTTTATAGAGAGAACTGGGAAGGGGCGAAAAAGTAATTGGGCTGAACGCTGACACCCCTTAAGCGCGGATCCGGCTTATTGTTTATGACTGATTTTATGGTGTGCCTCACTAAGTAATATTAGTTGTGTGAGGCCTCTTTTTATCTCACACATTTGTGGACCAATATTTTACATATGGAATTTTTACATACCTATACACTATTGGAAACTTTATTACCCTCCCTATTCAAGTTTCAATTTAGTTACCTACCTCCTATATACAAATTTATCAATTATATACACTTTAGGAATTAAATGAGTATCCCTTTATATTAGGAATCAATTATTTCCTATCCTTATTCTCTCTCCCCCTGCTCTCTCTCCGTCTCTCTCTCTCTCCTGCGCTCTCTCTCTCTCTCACTACGTCTCTCTCTATCTCTCAATCCCTAATTTCAGTAATGTAGAGCAAAGGAAAAGAGAGCAGCAATTCCACCATTGACAGCCATTAAAAAGCTTTGAAGCTTTGAATTCGAATTTGGATTTTCAAAAAATATTATTTGTATGAATTGGGTGGTGTTGCAAACAATTGGGAATTCTCCCTACGTCTCTCTCTATCTCTCAATCCCTAATTCCAGTAGTGTAAAGCAAAAGAAAAGAGAGCATTAATTCCACCATTGATAGCCATTAAAAAGCTTTGAAGCTTTGAATTCGAATTTAGGTTTTCTAAAACCATTATTTGTTTGGATTGGGTGTTGCAAACAATTGGGAATAAGGTTTGGAGTTTATATCTCAATTTTGAGGGTATTTTGGTGAAGATTAAACTTGATTTTGACTGAATTTCATATTGAAACAAGAAGAAGAAGAAGAAGAAGAAGAAGAAGACATGACATACATTATACTTACGAAATTGTAGTACAGTTGTAGTAAAATTGTAGAAACTTTGTATTCTGTTGTTTATATATATATATATATTATATTTACGTGGTATGATACTAATTGTATATAACTGGGTAGAAATAATGTATGAAATTTGTAAATAAGTTGTAGATAAGTTTTAGGTAAGTTGTATAATATATAACTAGTTGTATGAAAATTTATTTTTACTATGTATAAATCAGAAACAAAATATACAAAAGACATATTGTATAAAATTTGTATAAAAATTGTATTTACATGGTATGATATTGTAGTTGTATATTCTGGGTAGAAATAATGTATGAAAGTTGTAGATAAGTTGTATAATATATAATTAGTTGTATGGAATTTATTTTTACTATGTATAAATCATATACAAAATATGCAAAAGAAATATTATATAAATTTTGAATAAAAATTGTATTCAAGTTGTATGATATTGTAGTTGTATTTAACTGGGTAGGAATAATAATGTAAACAATCTGTATTATTATATTTTGTGTCAATATGTTAAATTTGGTTAAATCAACTATTTACATGCTCGATCCCCTCAGTCTCGAAATCACTAACAGTGGAGGCATTTGAAAAAACTCTAAAACTTTAGATTCTCCACCAAATTTAATTAAAAACAAAAAAAAAAACTTAGCAAGTATGGATAAGGGAAAATTAAGGAGCTGCCATGCAAATATAACATGAATGGCGGTGATGGTCCTAAGAGCTATGCTGAGAATTCTGAATACCAGGTTCAATTGAAATCCATTCAAATCATGTATATACTTATGGACACAATTCTTAAAAATATGTATATAATATTTTTTCTTTTTTTTCCAACCAACAAAATATGTGTATAATCATAATCATTCTGAACATAATGACTCTAAATTCGACTGTGTTGATCATGACCAGAAACCGTGCAAATTAATTGTGTGTACATGTTTTTGCAGAAACAACTACTTGGATATTCAAAGAAAGTAATGAATTTGGGAGTTTAAGACTAAATCTAATCCCTCCTGAGGGATAAGATTCTTTAAATTCCTAAATATATCAATTTGGAGAGAAAAGGGGAGAGAGGAGAGAAAAAAGAAAAAAGGGTGTAACTAAATCCCTTGATTAAAGGCACAAATAATGAATTTGGGAGACTTTTAAGGTAGATTGTATATATTTTGTAGACCAACCATGGGTAGGTCGAGTAATTATGTAAACATGGACATTTTTGGTAATAAAGTTTTTAATTTTGTATAGGTATGAAAAAATCATTTTTTTTTATTTATTCTTGAAAACGGTGTATGGGTTAAAATCAGACCAAAGAAATTCGGCATGCAGAGATGGTTACCATGAGCGATTTGCACATCAACGCGGGCAGTTTGGCCGAGGTGAACCAGTGATCAACAGAACGAGCCGCTGAGCGGTTCGTCGAGGTCGAGCAGCATAGATAGGAGTAACGGCTAGTTTTGTTTTGGGATCTTCAGAGGGAATGTTCTATTAGATATTCTCTCTATTTGTACTTTTCAGGGTTTATTTGGAAATACCCCATATAAATAGTATGAGAGATAAGACAAAAGGCATAAAAAAATTTAGATGATAAGAACACTTTTGAAAAGTAAGCTCTCTAGATAAATACAAAGGATAACTTTCTGGAGAGATTCAACCTTTTTGGATTTCTATTTTCATTTCCACCGGATCCGGGAAAGTGCTCATCATTCTCTTATATTCATGTCATTCATCATTGTCAGAGAGAGGAATCATTCACCTCATTCAATATTGGGTGAATCTTCCTCCTTAATTACATTTAATGCCATTGATTATTATTTAATACTTGACACTCCATACACGTTATTATATTCGACACATTTATTGCTAGCATATTAATTCCATTTCTTCACTGCTCATACGGTTCGTACTTTCAAATCAATATCTGAAGTTACCAACTTTAACTAGGATTAAACCTTCTTAATAACTGATTAATTAGTTTAACCAAATATTATTATTTTTTTGGTCAAACAAAGGGCAATAACAAAATCTGGAAATACGAAATTGCTTAGCATGGTTACAAGGACAATATATTCCAGTAGTTTAAAGGGAAAAACAAACATTTGTTATTCATGCAACATCCTGATCTCATCCAGCTACGTTATAGTATGACAAAGATAACAGCCAGAAAATTTTACCTCCTATAGCAAAGGATGATACCTTATTTATTATAAATAAATACCCTTTTAAAAAATTATCTCCTATAGCTACCTTTTAATTTCTATAGCAAAATATCTATTTATGGCCACTTCCTACCTTTAATCCATTAAATACGCTGTGTATTATTTCTCTCTCTCCATCTCTCTTCCCTCTCCTCCTTTCTCTTTCCTCTTTCTTCTCTTTTTCCCCCGTCTTTTTGCTCCCCTGCTTTTAGAAACCCTAGCGGGGGTTGTGTTCCGCCAACGACAGATACGGCCGGCGACCATTTTCCCCCTTCCTTGTTGTGCCACCCCTAACCCCCTCCTCTGGCCAGCGATACCTTCTCCTTTTTTCTGAAGTGATGATTACATTAGAAAACCATTTGGTTTCCAAACGTGACGATCTAAAATAGTTGAAGTTGAAAAACTCTAAGAGCCAATATTATTCACGCCATTTTGAATGGAAAGTAGAGAAGTGATATTTTTGCTTAACTACTCGTTATTCAAAATTCACAGTCCAACTAATTCAAATTCATTCTACGAGATTATAAGAAGAAGATTTCGACAAGGTGAAGGAATGCGAAAATAAAATGGCAAAAGAAAAAAAGAAGTAGCTGCTTTGTCTTGAAGAGTGTGTTACCTTTTTTTTCATTGTATTTCAATGTATCTCGATGTATTCCATGTATTTTATTGTATTCACTGTCTTTTTTTCATTGTATTTCAATGTATCTCGCTGTATTTCATGTATTTAATTGTATTCACTATCTCGTTGTATTCCATGAATGTATTCATATATTTTTTTTAATTAATATAATTTATGTATTCAGATGTGTGTGTGTGTGTGTGTGTGTGTGTATATATATATATATATATATATATATATATATATATATATATATATATATATTCAAATATATCTGCAGTATGTATTCATATATTTTTGCACTATAGATGACCTTCTATACTTCATGTATTCAATGTATTTTATGTATTTAACTATATTCAATGTAATTATATAATTTTAATATATAAATCTATTTGGAAAGATACCACTAAAAAATATTTTAGTAAAGACACCACTAAAAAAAGAAAGGATGGACTGAATCTCTGAAGATTGCTATGTTTTTGGGGTGTTTTTCGGTTGAGAATCTTTTCTATAACTGGGAATGCAAATTTTGTGTGTTATAATTGAGTTTTGTTGAGTTATATTAGGAGTCTATCGCTTTAATTGATTCACTTACCGTTTTTAAACAACTGAAGACCTTTTTTTCGCAAATTCCGTTACTGTATTCACGAATACAGCTAGCGAATACAGTCGAATACATTCTCTGCTTAGCCGGACTCCCCTGTTTTCCGCCGAATTTTGCTACTGTATTCATGAATACAGTAGCAAAAATACATCGAATACAGTCTATAACAACTGAAAACATAGCTATAGGAAGTAATTTAGTAAATGGTAGTTATAGCAAGCTAATAATTACTAAAACATAGTGGTTTCTGAAAATTTCTCTTCTCTTATACCATGTTGGGCGCCTGGGCCGTAGTGCTTAATTAGGCTACTCACAGAGATCAATATCGAGTAAAGGCCCATTTCCATTTGAAGTAATGATTTCCTTAAAGAGCAAAATTCATTTGTAGCCTCTCGGCCAGAACCTATATCACCCGGTAGCTACAAAATGACCCCATACAAGTCATAGCCTAAAACCAATAATAAGGGCTATTTTTCTTTATGCTCCTCCGCTCCCTCACCGCACATTACTGGAAATCACAGCTGGAAAATCAGGCGAAGCACTAGGAATGAAGTTTTCTGGGATGCTCATGATTAGTCCATATTTCTAGGGAGAAAAATCTAATGGTATAGAGGTTCAAGATCCAAGAAAAGCAATGGTGGATAAATGGTGGGAATTTGTTTGCCCATCAAATAAAGGGAATAACGACC